AGATCGGTTCGAGAAGAAACTTAGTTGCTGGAAGGGCAAACTTATGTCTTATGGAGGCCGGTTGATTCTTATTAATTCGGTGCTCACGAGTATGCCGATGTTCCTACTATCTTTCTTTGCAGTTCCAGTTGGGGTTAGGAAAAGGACGGACTTCTACCGATCAAGATTTTTTTGGCAGAGTGATGAACTAAAGAGAAAGTATCGACTCGCCAAGTGGGATATCATTTGTAGACCAAAGGACCAAGGGGGTCTGGGTATTGAGAATCTTGAGGTCAAGAACAGATGCCTGCTCAGTAAGTGGCTGTATAAGCTATCAGCTGAGACTGACGCAACATGGGCGCAGATTCTCCGTAACAAGTATCTGCAGTCCAAGACTTTGTCACAGGTGACAGTGAGACCAACTGATTCACCGTTCTGGAAGGGGCTTATGAGAGTTAAGGCAGCCTTCTTTAATAGAACAAAAAATTTAGTCGGGGATGGCAACAATACCCGTTTCTGGGAGGATACTTGGCTTGGTGATACACCATTGGCGATCCAGTACCCGTCCCTGTATCGTATTGTTCAGCGACGTGATGCGCTAGGTGCAACGATTATGCAGTCCATTCCCCTTAATATTCAGTTTTGGAGGGTGCTTGTTGGTGAGAGATGGGAAGCTTGGCTTCATTTGGTGAGTAGACTGATGGAGGTTCAGCTAGCTCATCAGCCCGATCAGTTGTGTTGGACTCTTACTAGGTCTGGACAATTCACGGTTAAGTCGATGTACATTGATATTATTAACTCGAGTGTCATTCCTAGTTCCAAACATGTTTGGAACGTAAAAGTTCCTTTGAAAATTAAAGTGTTTATGTGGTTTGTACATAAACAAGTCATTTTAATAAAGGATAACTTGGTTAAGCGCAATTGGACAGGATCTACTAGGTGTAGTTTCTGTGATCGGGACGAGACCATTAAGCACCTCTTCTTTGAGTGCCCATTAACGAGAATTTTGTGGCGCACCGTGCAAATTGCCTTTAACATTACTCCTTCGAGTTCGGTCGGTATGTTATTTGGAACGTGGCTTGATGGGATAGAGTCCGATACAACTAGACACATTCGTGTAGGAGTATGTGCGTTGTTATGGGCAATTTGGAATTGCAGAAATGATTTGGTTTTTAACAGAACAACAAATATTCATTTTTTGCAGGTTTTATTTCGAGCTACGGCGCTGATCCGTATGTGGTCCTTACTCACTCAGACGGAGGCCAGGGAGCGTTTGGTTACTGGATCTGTCCGGTGGGAGATGGTAGCGCGGAATATCTTCAACCGGTTTGGATGGCGGTCATGTAATAGGATAAGCGATTAGTTTTCCTATCTTTATTATGCCAACCGGTTTTGGCTCTATGGCCTTCTTATTTTTGGCGTTGAGGCTCTCTGTGAGCTAGCCTTTATTTTGTTTCACGTTTTTAAGGCCTTGCTGAACCTATTTTATTTATAAATGTGGCCGTATGCAACGTTCTGATGCAGAGGCCGGGGAGTCCCTCTTTTCAAAAAAGAAAAAAAATCACCCTCAGCGGCTCCTTTGCCAAGACGTGTGTTGTAGCTTGTATATTTCTTTTGTGTGGTGTGATGTACTTGTAAATTAATCTCCACATACTCGGTACAAGTTGAGCAGTATCATCAAAACACTCGTATCTGTCAAACACAAAGCTTACTGTCGCGGACATGATAGTCGCAATTAATTTGGATCATCACTAGTGTTGTACGGAGACTACAGAGCAGAGCAACCCCCAACTTTTTAGCCATGAATTTGCTAGTCTAACTAGGCTAAATTAATTAACAGTTGTGGTTGCAGGATCGGCGAATCGCTAGACCCAATTGATTGTTCAAACAACAGCATGGTTGTCGTGTGTCGGTGCAGCTGCAAGTAAACTGGCAAAACTCAACTCTGCTCTCTTGTTTCTTGTGACATATCATGGCAATGTCAGTTCTTCTTCTAGAATCGTCTTTTTCTAGAATCAACCCCATTTTGTTTCCAGATTCTTCCTGCAGGTTACAGACTTACAGCAACCAACTCAATGATTATGTAGAAATCACTAGTAGTCTTTTGTCTCTGGACCCATAAAATAAAAGCTTACTGCCAACAATAGTATACAATAAAGCAAAAACACTCGTATTCAGCAAAGATAAGCTTAGTGTCCTGGACATGTAAAGTCGCAATTAACGTGGATCGTATGAAAATAATTAGTATTGTGTACAGACTACAGAACAGAGCCAATTTAGACATGAACCTGCTAGTCTCACATTGCTGAATTAATTCAAAGTTGTGGTTGCCGGACTGGCGTATTGTTCGATTGATCAACATTTTTCTTCCCTCTTAACTGAATCCCTGATTAATTTTGACAAGAACAGCAACTTGAGTCTTTAGTCTCCATGCAGCTACAGTAGTGTATACAGTATCAATTGTTTTCTCAATCACAAAAGCTCACTACTGCCACCGCTATATAATAGACAACACTCACGTATTTGCCTGATTTATGACAACAGAAGACAGATTTTAGGCCTTTGGCTACAATTAATGCCACAAAGGAACTATACAATGTGATGTAACCAAGCTGAGCAACATGATTTATTTATACTAGGCCAGCTAGGCTCCCTTCCACCTGCTCCCATCAATCAAGATTTATAAAGTAGTAGATGAGACACTATATATATGAGTATGCATTCACCTCATCTGGGTTTCCATTCTCAAGGGAATTACAAATACAGTTTCTGAATTTGCAAGACATACTGCTGCTACCTGAACAGAGCAACCTGTTTCTGAATTTACCAGACATAATCCTGCTACCTGACAACACATGCTTACAACTGCCACAAACGGCTCCTGCCCAGAAACAAGACTCACTCACTGCCATTATAAACGTTCACAACTTCTTCCTTCAGGTTACTACAAGCAAGCAACTGAAACAAAATAAATTACACACTGTCTTTCGTCTCCATGTAGCTACATTACTAGTTGTTGTTCTCTGCTTTTCTTGTTGCCAATAATATAAATTACCCCCAACACTTGTCTTTTCGCCTGACACACGACAACCTTCTGCCGGGGCCCGCACTGAATTTTTCCACATGAGCACAACAGGATGAGGATGTCCAAGCTAAACCGGATAGTCTCGCTTCCACCTGCTCACCCACAAGGTAGATTTAAACTAGATCATGAGACTTGAGCTTGGTTTATTAAGTGCATCATGGTACACAGTAAGTAGTACCTAGTGTAGAGCTATCTGCTAATTAAATTGCCGAATTCTTGCAATTGTGTGGGTTTCTTTTCCTTTGCGTATTGCTAATAGGCACCAGCCAATCAGTTTAGCTTCCTTCCGAGTGAGTTAATGATATGACTGCCAGTGACAACATCAGCGACATACGAAAAGCACAAGTTTTTCCTTTTGAAAATGAAGGAACGAACTTTGATACGTAGGATGCAAATTAAGAACTAGATTGGGAATCGCCGCTAGCAGTAGCACCGTAACAACATCTTGCTACTGGTGGCAGAACAAGATGACAACTACCGAAAATGAATCTGAACTTGCCCCAATTTACCTCCAGGCAACATCCAGCAGTCACGAATTGAAGTGCACGAGACTTGTGACAATCACTGAAAATGCAAAATGCAGTGAATGCCAAATCAATTACTTGACCCCTAACATCCATGCAGCTACATTATTACTACGAGTAGTCATTTTCTGAATCACAAAAGCTTACTACTGCCAACAATATAAATGACACAACACCTATCTAGTGTCGTAGAGATACTAATTAACTGCCCAAATCATGCTATCAATTGAATGACTAGTCACTTTAGCCAATACAGTACATGCAGACTAGGAACTAAGAAGAGAACTGCGACTTGTCCCCGCGGCGAGAAATAAGAATGGTCTCACCTCTCTAGCTAGCTATCATGCACTTTCTCCTTTCCTCGATCTGCCTTCTTGTTCCTTGTTTCCATCTCCTGAACCAGATGCAACTGCTGCTGCTTCTCCTTGTTCCTCCTCTGCAGCCATTGTGTGGACTAGCGTCCAAACAGATGAAATGAACATGGAATCAATAGGAGGAAACAATTAAATGTAAATAGAACGCTGAGAGTTGTCTTAATTTAACACAATAAGAGTTTTCATGTTTTACCTCCAGATCCGATCAAGTGCTGGGCCAGAGCATCCCTCACCCTGACGGCATCCTCATCTGCTACCTTCCACACTTTCTCGATGTAAATCCCCTCCTGGCCGCTCGGCATGCTTGCACCCTCATCCTCCTCCATGTCTATCACTAAGTTATGCAACACGCAACATGTGTGGATTGTCCGGTGCATCTCGCGTTGATTATTGGGCTGCCACCCTTCACCCTGTAGGCACTTCCACGTGTCTTTCAACCTTGCCAACGCCCTCGGCGCGACGGATGTAGCTGCAGAGTGTCTCCTGTTGAATTCAACTTTGGACTCTGAGAGTGGGAGACCATTTTCTAACTGGTAAGGTGTGAGGAGCCATGGACGAAGAGGATATCCTGCATCACCAATGATGTATTCCCCGACCTCCGAGCCATCTGATAACTTCAGCTTACCGCCATTCAGCCAAGCATATTTCTCAATGCACTCCAGGAGATCACCGTCCATCCAAAGCTCCGTGATCCTCATATCGGGATCAACAACGGCTTGCACTAGCACAACGTCGTTCTCCTCATGGTCACGGTTTTGTGATCCAAACGTGATGTGATCTGTATGAACAACACCGCAGCAGTTTGGAAGGCCGTGGATCTTGTCAAACTTGTGCTTGATCTTCTCCAGTTTAGTGGAGCCAGGCCAGCTACAGTGGTGCATTGCTCGGTCCCACATAGCCTCAACAAACACCTGAGTTACCAGCAACACAGTTGACTCGTTCACACCAAGAGAGGATCCTACGGTAACCGGAGAGCCACCGGAGTTCAGTACCCTCAGAGCGACAGCTACTCCGTCTTGCAAAGACAGCAATCTCCCATCAACAAAGGTGTGATCCCTTGCCATCATATTTTCCAAAAATGGGATCCTCACCAAGCTGCAGACGTAACTGAAGGTGCTTCTTCTTCATTTTGTACACAGACTCAAATCCTTGTGCATCCACCATAGAAGTTGATAAGGTTTTTGCATGGAAATAAAAACACAAAACTGGTTATACACAATCTCTAATTAGCAAGGCAAGAGCAAACATATATCACTCTCAGTGGCGGACCTAGGATTTAGGCATGACCAAGGCTGAACCGTTGTAGCAAAAAACTACGACAAATGCTGATGAAATTAAGATGACATGGGTTATCCTTTTCCAAAAAATCCGTTTTATCTTCTATTTCTATGTATTTAAATTGGAGAAAATCAGTTAATCCTTAATTGGCAAATCCCTAATTTCAGCTGTTGAAAAATTGTCTAAAGATAGGAATTAATTAGACTGATGCATGAGGCTTCGAGAATGAGAGAAAAACTGTGATGTGCCTAGGAGCCTCTGCTGTGAAGGCGATGGAACTCAGAGGGTGGGCGATCAGAGCATCAAGCAATGCTAGTATCTCGCGGCCGTGTGGATGCAGAGTTGCAAACTGATGCGCTTTCATACTAGGGACTCAAGGTAACCTAGGCCAAGTCTGCCAGGGGTGCCTCTCATTACTGCTCTAGGTCTGTTAGACTCAAGGTAACCTAGGAGAACAAGTAATTAAAACGCGAAATACTGCGAGGCAACACGAGGAGTGCAACCAAATCAGAAAATGATAGCCATAAGTTGAATAATCCAGATGTACAGCTGTGTGGCTAATACGTTGCATGTCATCATGTCAACATAGTATATTCAGTCATCATGCAGCACAAATATATGGTTGAAAGGCGGCAAAGTTCGTATGTATAATTTTACCTAACACAGTAGAGCGGCTAATATTTGAATCCAACTTGCAGTTGTCTCCTCTCGTGTACAAAACGTACCATTTTCTTTGGCTGTCCCCATCACCTGCATATGCCTTGACATGCTCCACTTGGCTTAACTTGTCCCACTCAGTGCCAGATTGTCCAACGGCTACCGCAGAGAGCAACCATAGCCTGCAGAATAACTGCAAATGCCTTGCCTTTATGTCTCGCATGTATTCTGGGAGTTTTTCCATGGTGTAATCCTGCAAGAGCAGCCTCTCGAGTGAAGGGATATGCTCCAACACCTTCAACTTCAGGCAGCTAATGATGGTAAGCTTTTGCAGATTGGGGAGATTGGTGATCCTCTCCAGGTCGGGGCATCCATCCACTATAAGCTCAACAACATAAGGGAAGCTCTCAATGTAGCTGAGCTGCTTGACATGTTCTAGAAATAATATTTTCAAAGAGGTTGCATTGGAGGCAAGGCCCGGAGGAACATGCCTCAGTTTGCAATTTTTGAGCTGAATCCTTCTCAAACGGGGCATGGCTTGTAATTGCTCCTCCCACTCCCACTCCTCCCATTCCACCATTCTATCCAAGACCATTTCATTTAACCTTGGAAACGAAGTTGCTGCTGCCTGCACGAATCCAGTCCCAACATGTTTGATGCATGGAGCACGAGAGACCTGTAGAAGCTGCAGACTGGGGAGCTGGCACAACCCATTGGGAAGTTGTATGCAACAAGCCAGATCATCAAACAATATAGTCTTCAAGTTGTTGAAGGGCACCATTGATGTGGACATCATCCAGCTCCGGAGTTGCCAACCAAAATACCCCTCGATTTGAAGAAGTTCTACACCAGGTGGAGGGCAGAGCTTATCGTGAACCTTCTCGATTCGCTGCTGCTCTTCCTCAGAGACACCTTCCTTCTCTTTGACCAACCCATCATCTCTCAGTTTACTTGTGCATTGCAGGAATATCCAGATAAGATGCATCTTCTCGTCGAGCCTAGCATTAGCAGCAAACGAGGCGGCAGATACATTTTCTAATTTAGTTAATCCAAGAACTCTAAGTTGGGAAAGAGGCCCCAACTCATCCAAACTGCACCAATCACCATCCATGTGGGCTCGAAACATATTTAGTCTCCTCATATTTGTTAGAGCTCTAAACCCTCTAGGTACCATACTTTCTTCAGGAAGTGAAAGTAAACTCAGCTGGCCAAGCTTCACAATGCTATCAGGAAGATTCACCAATTTATTACATTCAAGGACAAGGAATTGCAATAGTTTCATCTTGCCAATGTTCCCTGGAAGTACAGATATATCAGCATTTACTAGTCTTAGATACCTCAAGTGCTTGAGTTGATGCAAATATTCAACCAATACAGCCATATCTGTAGATTCAATATGCAGAGTCCGCAAACTAGAAAAAGTAAACAATGAGTCACCGGGCTTCATCTTAATCTGGATAGTTGAGATCAATGTTCTCACTGATTGTTGCGCCTGTAGAGATTTCCAATCAAGTTCACCGGATTGTGATTGGTTAGTTTCTATGGACAACCAAAGAAACTTTTTTGAACCAAGTTTAGGAATAATATCGTTGTCTCCGTCTTCAGTTACGAGTGCTTCATCTTTAATCATATACTGACCAAAAGAGCGAACAACATCATGCATGCTGCAAACCCATAGATCAGCATACGATTTATCTGGCTCTATCAGGTTCCTAGATACCAACTCCTTGTAGTAATTTTCTCCCAATTCTTCTAAATTATTAGAATTTCCATGAATAAATCCTTCACTAATCCACATTGCAACAACTTCATCCATACTAAAATTTCTACTTTTAGGAAGAAGAGAGTAGTACAGAAAGCACTGCTTTAGGTAAGAAGGCATATATTCATAGCTTAAGTATACTGCATAGTTAAGCTCATCAGGCATTTTAGTTCTTGACCATTTCGAATCATCCAAAACATGCTGCCAGTCACGACGTAGCCGTCCTCTTTCACGCAAGAGTCCTCCCATTACTTTGACGGCAAGTGGTAAATACCCACATTTTTGTATAATTTTGAGTCCAATATCCTTTAGCGTATTTATGTGGTTTTCATTTATCTCACTTGAGAGTACCTGCAACCATGCAATACAAGCGAGAAGTACAGTTAATTAACTATGAACCAAGCTCCTTTAAGGCACTCAAATTTACCTTCTAAGAGACGAGAATACTAATTGATTTGTCTGTCCATTTATTAAGCTAGGTTTGACAATGTAAATATTCAAATCACAGAATGTACATGTCAAAAAATGTCATAAATGCATTTACCTATCTTGCTCCTACATACAAATATTTGTGATATGAATTGTACAAATAAAATACATATTTTATACCATTATTAGAAAAAGGTGTGCCCAGTCTCTAAGCGGTAGCAAAATGACTAGCACTTAGTGTGCGCATAATTGCACTTAAGGCGGTGGTCAAAAACTGAATGTGCTTTGGTCATAAAAGAGTAAGGCTAGCCTAGCGCTTTAAAAACCTTACTTCATACCTAGAAAACAATTCTTCCTGTCCTCTTTTTTTCAGAAACTGAATGTATTGCTAGCAATATATTTTTGCAGTACTCCCGTCATTGAGATAGAAACTTGCACTCAGATTTAGTAAAATCATATAATATTTATTATCTTCCTTATTTTACAGTCACGTAAAGCTAACCATCTTCCCGTCACCTAAAATGCATAGTACTCCCTCCGTTCGAAATTACTTGTCGCAGAAATGAATGTATCTAGACATATTTTAGTTCTAGATACATTCATTTTCGAGACAAATAATTCCGAACGGAGGGAGTACGTACTAGATCAAACATTGTTGACAAAATTATGTAGTGATATATTTCCTTGTCTAGCACAATGCTTTATTGGCACTAACAAAGTAACATCAGCCATGTGAAATTATTGACAGCCTCTTAAGGTAGTACTCCCTCCGTTCCTAAATATTTATCTTTTTAGAGATTTCAAATGAACTACCACATATGGATGTATATAGACATATCTTAGAGTGTAAATTAATTCATTTTGCTCTGTATGTAGTCATTTGTTGAGTTCTCTAGAAAGACAAATATTTAGGAACGGACCCTCCGTTCTTAAATATTTATCTTTTTAAGATTTCAAATGGACTACCATATACGGATGTATATAGACATATTTTAGAGTGTAGATTTACTCTTTTTGCTTCGTATGTAGTTACTTATTGAAATTTCTAGAAAGACAAATATTTAGGAACGGAGGGAGTAGTACGTATAAGACATTGAAACCACACCTGATTAATTTGGAAGGATCCTAACAGTTCTCTAAAAGAACTACCTTATACTATTAATAAGTGGATGTAGATAGATTATTGCCTTGATAAAGATATTGATGTTTAATTGCATACAGACCTGCGTGTTGAGCAATAACAAGCATCCTCAGGTGCTAATGTGTCGACGTGGCGGTATGGCCATATAGCTGACACCCCTCGGGCTACACCTTCATCTCTGGTGGTGATGAGGACGCGGCTGCCTGGAGCAGCAGCATTGACTAACGGCGTTTTGAGCACATCCTCCCATGCTCTATAGTTCCAAACATCATCCATTATCAAAAAGCTCTTGTGGCCAATCAAGGCTTCCTCGAGGGTTCGTTGAAGCGTGGCCTTTGCATTTCCAACTGGCTGAGCGTCTCCTCTGACTTCAATGATGGCTCTTCTCAGCAGCTCCACCTCACTAAAGTTCTGGTTGACGCTCAACCATATCTTTTTGCTGAAGTCACCTTGGATGGCCTCGTCATTAAAGACCTTCTGAGCGAGGGTGGTCTTGCCAATCCCACCAACACCTACGATAGCGACCACCATAATGTTGTTGCTGACCTCACTTCCAGAACGTGTGATCTGGGCCACCAGTGCTCTTGTGTCTTCTTCGATCTTGTCCCCAACCACACCCGACCTGTCAAGCTCCCCCGACGTCTCACGGCTGGGATTACCATGACGAGAGCTGCTATGTTCCTCGTAGGACGCAAGATTGATGAAGTTGAAAGCAGCGCTCCGCTCCTTGAGGGAGTCTAGCCTCTGGTTGAGTGCCTTGATGCGGGTGCCGATCTCATGAGCATGGAAGGGATTCCGCAAGCAGAAGAGCAAGGGATTGCAACACCCAGCTTCTACAGAGGATGGCCCACGCTTCTCCATGGCTTTCAGCTGGCAGAGGTCAAGGATGTCAGCAGCTTCATACATGGCGCGCTTGAGCTGACCCACCCAGACTTTGACAGTCTCGTCGGTGATGTTCCTCCTATCAGCATCTGCGAGGAAGTTCTTGAGGTCCAGGAGCTTGTTGCCCAACTTGTCGATCTCGCTGGAGACGCCCAGCATCGTTCCGAGCTCATCTTCTACCACCTGCTTGAGGTAGTCCCCGATGTAGGATGCAAAAGCATCCAACACCATCGCCATTGGTCAACTTGTTGGCCTTGTGCTGTGATTACAATTGGAGGCAATTAAAGTGAGTTTTAAGCAGCAGACAGAGACAAGGAAATAAAACTTGAACACTAACTAACTACCTCAAGCACGGAAACTACGTCACCAACCTTTGAGATTGATGGAATGCACTGCACGGCACAGAAGTCGGCGGCGACAAATACCTTGCGGTGGCGGCGGGGGGCGATGACGGTGCTGAGGAAGACCTGGAGCCTGGAGGGATTGGGATTTGGGAAGTAATGCCACAGGGTACTCGTTGGTAGCCGGACCTGGGTAAAGCATCCCATTCCCATCGATGGAGCAAGCAAAGCAAAGAAAAGCAAAGCAGCTTCTTTTCCTTTTCCATGGAGGAGTAGATTATTTGACAAAGCAAAGCAGCTGAGCTGAACAGAAGAGGGCATTGATATTTTTTTATGGCCACAGGGCAGCTGAGCTTTTCCTTGATGCCAAGATATGCTTTTGCCTCATGCGCACGCCAAATGACAGCGGCGCGCGCTGGGCCGGTTGACACTTCAAGACTTATATATTTCGCATATTAAATAAACGTAACAATTTGTTGTATTTGCAATTCAAATGGTTACAAAACAAGTCCCCCAAGTAGCAACAACTACCATCGCTATTGTATTGTATAACTTGTTGTGATAATAAAGAAAAGGTGAAACATAAGCAGGTGGGACTTAATTAGTGCTAAGTGTAATTAGAGAAGACGAATATTAAACTCGATCGAATTACCTCACCAACCTTTGAGATGGACGGGATGTCCTCCTCCTCCTCCTTCAGATCAGGAGGACATTCAACTCAATCATGTTGTGTGCCAGGAAAGTGAAAATAAAACATGTTTTTAACTCTGTCTTCTTATCACAATATTCTCTAGAGGTAAACAGATCACACATTTCTAGTGTGAATGGATGCAGCTCATTGCCATGACCCCACCATCACATCTCGTCATTATCTACACTTGATGACTTCATAGTGACAGTGACAAACAGCTGCGCTGGCCCGAGCTAATTAGTTAATCATATAAGGGCAACTCCAATGTCGACCCGCATCCGTCCGCGGACACGGATGCGGGAGGCGGCCATCCAACGCTGCCCGCATACAGTTAATTAATTACACAGATGCCAAGCCGCCACCGTAGCAGTTACACAGCAGCAGTTAAGATGATATGGGGGCAAAAGTTGGCAGCTGGAGGAAAGCATCCCATTCCCACTCCCACTCCCACTCCCACCAGCGAAGCAAAGCAAAGCATAGCAAAAGCATATCTCACTCCCAACAGGGACCAGACCTGCAAAACACAGCAACAGATACTGCAAGACAACACATCTTTCAATTTTCCTTTTTAACCAGTCTCAAGTTAACTTGTGCAATAAAAGTTACCCTATACTTGCCTTCTGAAGAGTCGCTTATCCGGTCTCAACAAGGACTAGACCTGCAAAACACAGCCATGGATGTACAGGCATTAAACGTACACAGCAAGACATAACAACAGAGACCATAAATGTTCAGGGTTATGTATAAAGCATGTTGAGTACTTCTGTTGCTTATTCGGAGTAAAAAAAGGGAAGCCCCCGCCCATAAAATTTAAACATATTCTGCTACACAGAACCATGAGCTACCCATTTGGCAATAAGGGTGCAGGAACAGACCATGAGCTATCGGTCCAGCATATTATGTGCGCACATGAGAATACTCAGGGATACTTAACTTGGGTTTAGTACCCAGGTGCAGTTTAAAAGCACATCAGATCAGGTATACAATCATGTGCCACAGTAGTTTAATTAACTTATCAAGTTTTTTCACTTTCCATATTTATACATCACAGCAGCTAAATTGATTACCCAAAACATGCATGCATGTGGTCTACTGGAAGCATCGCAAAGTTAGTGTTTTGCTTACCACACTGGTACCAGCTTAATTGCTTTCTGAATAAGTGAACAGTGGCATATCACAACATCAACGGTTAAACACTTTCAAAAACCGCTCCAAGCTTTTAACCCGAGACCGCACCGTGTCATGTGCACATGAAACAAAAATTCACCCTCTATATGACCTATCTCCTTGAGCCAAGCTGTGTGGAGCGGGCATGGATCAGGCTTCCCTTCCGCGAGGGCCTTCTCAGTAAGAGAGTAGAACCAACCGTTCCTCCACTTGAACGGCGACGGTGAAATGCTTACATGTTAATTTTGAAAGACAATGTATTACAAGTGCAGGTTCCATTACATCACATTACATAGGTTGGCAGCGGTATGACTTGCCTCTTTCACAGTGGTTGTGAAGTGCGCCACGGCTGTGGAGTAGGCGCATAGCCTCTCTTCCATGCGTTGGTCGAAAGATAGCCCCCGCTCCGCAGCCGCGGCAGATGCTAGCTGAACAATGAGGCTGGATACCTGCAAAAGGTGAAACACGAATAGATCATGTGTTGCTAGAAGAAAAGAAAAATTACTGTAGTTTGTTCGCGGACAGTTGCACTGCTAAGCTCAATCCTGGAGCATTATGTACGAAATTGAATTGCTGAAGAAAACTGAGGGCATGCATGATCCGATGTAAAAGAATTCAGAAAGGTAACAGATATATCTACAAACAGAAACAGTACTCCTTGAATGTTTTGGGGGTAACCTCCTCTGGAAGAAGACGAGGTCGGGCCACCGGGATTTGGGGTGGCGTCGAGGTCGTGTTGCGGGTGCAGACGAGGATGGGCCCGGCCGGCTCTGCCCGAGGAGGGAGAGCAGCGCCTGTCCGACCCTGCCGCCGCCCACCACCACCGCCGTGGCCATCACCGCTGCTGAAATGCGGGAGGCGGCCGCCCTGCTGCCCCTGGAGGAGGAGTAGGAGAGGTGACGGAGAGGAAGACGGCGGCTTTGAGGCCCATCGGTTCCGTTCCGGCGGACTGGACGGGGATGAGGCGTTTTCCCCCTCTCTTTTCTCATTTTTTTCTTCCATTATTTTCTTGTACTATTCTTTCTCTTTTCTTTTTTTTTTCTACTCCCTCCGTCCACAACTACGTGTCGCTCAAACGGATGGAAATACGTCATACATACATCAGTTTAAGCGACAAGTATTTTTCAGACAGAGTAATACTGTAGATACTAAGAAAGATGCTCGTGCGTTGTAGCGGAAATTTTTTTTGACGGACTTGAGTAGCATGGGCTGAAATACAAATTCATTATTTCAAAACACTGGCAGCTGCTACTGTCCAATTGTGCCAAAACACCTATCATAAACATACAACACTCTGCCATTATGTTTGCTGTTATAGCAACATACCAAGGGTACTAATAACCTTCACTTCTTCAGCAACTAAGCATCTATCTTCCATTGTACAAGTCAACTCAAAGATATAAATCACAAATAGTTTTTACGTAGAAACCATGCAGCTGTTAGTAAAGAAGTAGAGAGGTGTACTTGTAGTGCACCTTGTTAGTAAAGAAGTACATACAGGTTATCCAACAGCTGAAATCTGGATTTCCTTTTCTTCCCTGCAGCCATACTAATAAACAATTGTTCTCTCGATCACAAACCCAAGCTTACATTGCCAACAATATAAGATACTACACAATATAACAACTTCACCTTATATTAACTTGCAACCTGAACTCTTGGCTCCTCTTTCTAGTGTGATCGTGGCAATGTCAATTTTTGTTTGATGCGGTGAAATAGGTAGAATACAAAAGAATTCTGGGCAATGGATGGACTTTTCTTTTCTGTTGGACGCGAATGGATGCATGCATGCATGCACATTTTCTTTTCTTTTCTTTCACGGAACCTAATTAAGTAGCGCGCATGCGACGCTCCGTGGAGATCAATATTACGTGTTTATGTACAAAACAAATTTGGTTGGAATAAGAAAATGAATTAACTATGTGTTGCCCCCACTTCTCCTTTCGTTTCATTTATTTATTATTATACTCCATCCGTCCGGAAATACTCGTCGGGGAAATGAATGTATCTAGACATATCTTAGTTCTACATACATCCAATTTTATCTATTTGTGCGACAAGTATTTCCGGACGGAGGGAGT